CACCTTCCTAATTAAGCAACTTATAAACTGCATCAGTCTTCTGTTTCTTCTTCTCAGAAGCTAAATCTGAGATTTTCTTTCTTTTGCTCTTACCATTTACAGCCCTGTTGTCCTCTTCAATCTTTGAGAGAGGCACCTGCTAAATGTGATGTCTTGTCATTTTCATCATTTGAAAATGTCACTTTCGCCTTTGAATCTCACTGGCTTTCTGTAACCTTGTTAATTGAATCCATCTCTTTATAAAACTTCTAGCTTGCAGTTCTTAATGAAGCCATTCACATATCTGTTTTATTCCCAACCTCAGGTCAAAAAAGCTCAACCACAAGCTCCCTCTCCCAACTACCCTATCAAATATCTTTTTTTTGACTTCATGCTCATAGCCAGTAATTTTTGAGTAAGAAAATACCACCTCACTCTGCTCCCTGAGGGTGCTGTTGGGAGCATATAATATTTTCTGCTTTTTTGTAAGCAAGCTCTTCGAAGAAGATTCTAACACGAACAATTAGAATACACGTTCCGTGCACTGCTGCAGTTACAATAGCAGAGTTTGGCACTAATGCCACATTATCAAGAGATGAGGATCAACCCGATCTAATGAAAGATGTCCCTGCCCATGGCAGGAGCGTTGGACTAGATGATCTTTAAAAGTCCCTTCCAGCTCAAACCATTCTATAATGTTGTTATTCTCAACACAATACTGATTGTAATTTTTTTTTTTTTTTAAATGTGGTACTCTTAATTACCAGGAACTGAGTTTACTAAGTTGCTTTTCAGTAATCAGTGGTCCTTTCTGCAAAATGTAGGGTCTTCATCATTTGTCCTTAATGTAGAAAGCTTACACTATCTCCTGCTCCATTTAGCCAGCATATTCGTCTGAAGTATAGTGTTCCAGTTTAGCTTGTGACAGGTTATTCAAACAGTTGAAACCATGTTCCCAAGATAATATTAATAAATTATCTTTCCAAATATTACTCATGAGTCTTTTATATGTTTAGTATAATTATGGAAATGTGTCTCTACAGCATTATTAATTATTTTAAGCTTACAGTTATTCTACAGTAATCCTCATGAGCTAGTACATCAGTGTTGGAGGCCATGGCATATGCTCTCGGCATCCTTACCCAACTTACATGGCAGGGTTTATTAAAGGCAAACCAGTATGTTACAGAACATATCCATTTGAATTTTTTTCTTTCTTTAGGTTAAATGAAGGAGATGCTTACTACGCACTCAAAGATTTTTCACTCCTCATTAATTCTATTAGGTATGATAAACTTGTGCTTTGTAATATACAATATATATTTCATCTTTAAAGCAACTTAAAATGAAACAATGCTTTTTTTTTGTTGTTGTTGTTAATAAAACAGAACATCACTGAGTGAACTGTGTGATGATCCAAATGATAATGTTCTACTGGCATTTCAACAACTGGGCGAAATCTATGGAGAGAAACTGAAGTGTGTTACCTGAAGAAAAAAGAAAAAAAAACAAGAAAAAAGCAGGAGCAGTACGTAATACTCTTACCACACAGATCAGTTGCCTTTTAAGTTAGGAAGTGACTAGGTCTGAGTTGTCAAATGTTTCGTAATAAAGCTTTAGTAATATCCAATATTAGTAATACAAAGTTTACTTTAGAAAATTAACCTTTACACATTGAAATTTTAGCAGCTCCAATGTCAACTAAATAATTGTTTCTAATAGATTACAAAACTAGGTAATTGCATATATCTTTTAATTGCATACTTTTTTTTTCAGGCAGTGATATATATGTTAAGGCAGCTCTCAGAAATATACTGAACAAATGACACAGTTGTGACAGCTGGTGAGATTAGCCTCTCAGTAGGACAGCACTGGAAGCTTTCAGCCCATTTCTGAAGGATATTCAGCAATTACTTTGGCAATTATAATCAAATAAATTGTTCTAATTATTTTCCAAGGTTTCTAATTAAGTTACGAAGTAGTACCTTCACAAACCATTTTAAAAGCTTTTAAACTGGTCTGCAGTTTTCAGTCTACAAAATTTTAAGTATAAAGTGGGTTTTATATCAGTACAATGAAGTTTGATTAATAAAATGTTCCAACCATATGTAGAATTGCCTCATTTTTCACCTCTTGTATCTTTAATAATCAGAAAGATCCAAGACACCTCTAGCATACTTGTCAAAAAGTCCCTTGCAATATAAATTACTGAGTTTAGTAAAATATGTTTCCTAACTATTTTCTTGGGTTTTTTTGCTGGGAAGAGCAAAGTTTTCAGCAGTATTTTCATACTATTCCTGAAAATTCTTTAGCTTAACACTACATTTTAGTCTACTCGTAGTCTGAAAAAATATATACACACATACTAATGTTCAGGTAATCTAGGAAAATTAGGCTTTGACAACAGTCCTCATTGCCACACACAATTTTATAATGATGACCAAGATATTAATGTAAGTTATTCTCTATTGATAATAAGCAAAATGTGCATTAAGGACAATTCAGAATCCCATTTCTTCAAATTAGCTCTGGTGTTTATCAAATGATCACTGATGAAGTCTTTGACTTGAAATCTCTTTAGGCAACATTAAACTACATGAGACGTTGCTAGGAGATACTGGTGGGAAAACCTCTATGTAGTCAGGTAGTGCTGTTGAGCTACCATCAACTGACTTAAACTCTTTTTTCCTTACAGTTTTTTAATGTGTGAAACAAAATTATGACAGAAATGGAACATAGTGCTAGAAAGGACTGCTTTAACTCTGTTTGGAAAATAAAATTTACTCAAATTATTCTTTACTGTCTGGGAAGTCATGCCATATGTTAATAAATCTTGCACAACTGTTCTTCAACTAGGGTAGAAGTGGCCTCGTTTAGACTTTTCCATGTTCATGTTTCCCAATATAAATGGAGTAATCTTTTTAGCTAAGACACAATTGAGCAAGGAATAAAGTCAGAAATTGGTCATATTGTGTTCTCAGTTATTTGACCAGTACGCATGAAATCCTGGGTGAAAACCAAACTTTTTAGGCACTAATTTTATATGCTGAAGTCTCTTTAAGAGTTAGTAACAGCAGTCAACATTTCACTTTTAATAATGTATATAAAAAGCACTTCACTCCTGTTATGGTTGTTAGTAAGCAGTCAAAAGTGAAAGATGACCCAGTGATTAAGTCAAAATGACCAAGGAATCAACTTGGGAAAAGATCAGAAAATCAGTAATTCTACTGATTTAATATCTGGGTGGACTGTAATTTTATTTACTATTGTAAATAAAACATCCTGCTTACCATTTATCTCCGCTGTAAAACCTTCATGCTGAGCTATAATGCACTTAGACAACAACCTGCCATGCTTGAAACGCAGTCCTAGGACTGTATTGAACCCACACACCAACAATTTCTGCTTTCAAAAACAGTGTATCATAGTCTGTTTATTTGCTTTATGATTCTATAATGGTGTCTTTTCACTAAAAGATGAAGTATCTGCTTTAAAGTTTAACTTTATCAAACTCTCATGAAATACTGTAATAGAAATGAACAGAAGTTACATTGAAAATATGTAATTTTAAGAAATTCAGTAGGGTTTCTGAATAACCCTAACTCATTAGGATTTTTTTTTTCACTGTAGCAGAAAACAAACATTTTCTACACCTTCTGGCAACAAGTTTTATAGGTGCCTTATCTGTCTCTAAAATTGTTCCATTTCTCTTGCTTTCATTATAGTGGGATCAACCTCCATCCATGACACTCTCTGCCATTATCATCACACTCAGCCTGTGTCTTCCAGTAATTTAACTTAATACCTTTTTAACACGTCTCTCCTGCATGTGCAGAAGAACATGACAAGAATGTCTAGAGATAAAAGCAGAACAATTCTTAGAAAACTGAAATACAGTAAGACTTAAAAGATGAACATAAAGAACTATAAAACTAACAATAAAGAGAATTTTCACCACCTTCCTTACTATAATGCAGACACAAAGGGAAGATTAAGTTTTATAAATTCTAGAAACTATTTTTCAGCACATTTAATAGAGGAATGCACTGCCACAGAAAAACTGGGGCCAACAATTTAACGCAAATCAGATGAAAATTAGGTCAATGTTTCCTAAACAAAGAATAGTATTTCTAAGTATTCTGTCACAGTAAGTATATTGGTAAGCCTTGCAGAGATTTAAATTTAAGTAATATTTCTCTTACGAAGTTACAAAGATAATTTGGATTTTTTTTTTTTTTTTTTTAAAAAGATGACTAGTTGCCAGTGAAAAATTCTGAAGGGATATTAAACATTCCGCATTCTGATCTAATACTTGCCAGTTGACATATCTACCTAATGCAGGATTAATTTATTTAAAATCTGGCACCAGCTCTTGCTGGAGAGTGAACTCTAAATGAAATAGAGCTTTAATCTGAAATAGTACTACTGTCTGCGTATTCCAATAGCTAAAGCACAATTACCTCTTAGATGCAACAAAATAGTTAATAAATTAGAAAAGATGGTATTTTTATCCTCACTTTGTATCATATTTCACAGACTAAAAATTCAATGAGTTCTGGATCATTAATACTTACAGTGAGAAGTGCCATTTTCCTTTTTTAAAAGGAGATTTTTGTGTTTTAAAAGCTAGATCCTCCTAATGCTTTCACCAAAACAGCAAGTTAATATCTGTCCACCGATTCCCAAACTGTTGCCAAAGGAACTGAAAATTAGTTGTGACAGTTACTTTTCATAAAGGCAGCATTTCAGAAGCGTAGCTGGCACCCTTCTGCAATGTATAACAAGAACATTGAAGCGGTGTTTCAATTTCAAAAGCTTAAGAGTAACTAGTGAAATTACACTAGAAGTTGCACCTTCAATATACATTAAATACACCATAGAAAAAGAAAACAGCCAAAGGGAGCTACGCAAAACAATTTTCAGTAACGCCCTTCAGCATCCTTTATTTTCCCCATGGCTCTCCTCCCTCTCTGCCTATGAGGTGACTGCTATTGTCTGTACTCTCTTATTGATTTAACCCTAGTGCAAGTGCTGCTGTACCGAAACAGCAATATACTGCTTCCTGTTGCGGAGGCTTCACTGAACCCGCTTTTCTGGGATACCTCAGTTCCCCCCGCCACACACACACACACGCCAGCAGCACTTCTCAGAAGGTCTGCATTCTTAAAGATACAGCATCTACGGTCATACCTGAGTCTTTAACAAGACATGACATTTTTGGTCGTTTCTTCAGTTTGGGTTTGTACTATAAAAATCACTTTAGTACGTTGTACTTGCTGATAAGCAGTTATGTTTCTGACACAGAGATACCTCAATTGGCAAGAATCAGGAAGAATAACAGCTGTATCACAGGTATTCCCACTTTTTAATGTGTTAAGTAGCATTTATTTAATTCCAGCTTATTTAAGTATAGTTATCTTCCATTTCACTCTCTCTTCATGTCTCCGATTTTCTTCTAGTAGATATTTTGTCTTCGGCAACAGAAAAATATTCTGACGCACTGCTGGTATCAGTAGAGACGGATGTTTGACTTAGCTCTTCGGTGTCAGATTCGCTGTCACTTGGCATTCCTCCTGCCTCATTTACCATAAGCACAGATCCTCCTAAAGATGGACCATTGCATGTGCCAGGAACAGGACAAGCTGCATTCTGAAACTGTACAGACTCGGGTTCATCTTCCCTCCTAAGACAGGAACAGTTGTTTTCAGCAACAGTTTCACTTTCTTCATCTTTTACCTTTGTTTCTTGTTTTATTGCTGTAATAAGTTGAGTGGAAGATGCATTCTCGTACTTAACAGGAAGGACAACTGAACATAAAGGCTGACTACAAGAAGAATTACTATCAGCAAGCATTTCTGTGCTTTCAGTTTTCTTAGACGAGTTCATAGGAAAGAATGAACCTTCACATTTTGGATGACTGCGTCTAGAAGCAGGCTCTGCACACTCTGAGGATATAGGCTTCCCTAGATTTAGAGGTGTTGTGTCAGGAGATTTCATCTTCTCTTTCTCTGTTTTTTCAGTACCATTTCCAGACAAAAACAAGGAGGAAGTCAGCGAATCAGAGGTATTTCTGACAATACTTCCAAATGAAAATACTGGTGAAGGCAACTGAAAACAGTTATTTGTGAAGGAAAATACACAATTACTGGGGAGAAAGGGGGACTCGGAGACGACATTCACCCCAGCTGCAGTGTTGGTTTCTGAAGTACTGCAAGCTACAGTTGTGATGGATTCTGAGGCATTAGCTTTTTGTTCCCATGAGACAGATGGTTTCTGTGTACCGTATTCTGCAGTTTCCTTTGCAGAAGGTGTTTCTCTCACATGAGATAATGTATTTTTGTCAGATGGCTTCTCAGATTGGGTAAAAAATGAGGATAATGGTAAAACCTTAGATGAATTGCTAACTCCCGATCCTGCAAAACAATCTCTTTCTGAATTGCCAAAGGGGAATGAAAAATCTGGCTTCTCACTTTCTGCTAAGTCTAAATTAGGACTGGTTGAAGCATCAGAAACTGTGGTTTTGGTTATAGGACCATGTTTTCTAAATTTGCTTTCATCCTGGTTATCAGTTTTATCCGCACGATCACATTTTCCTAGATAAAATTGAGGGAAAACATATTTTCTGTCTTTCTTTTTAAAGGAAAATGTACCTACATCTTTAATAAATCTGGGTAATGAGTTGTTACATGCACTGAAAGCAAAAGGTGAAGCAGAAAGTCTCTCTGCAGAAACATCTAGAAATTCTGAATTTGAAACAGCAACAGCTACTGATGCTGCTGGTTTTAAGCTGGATGAAGTGCTAGAATTTGTGTCCATTTCGTTGGAAACAATAACTGCCGATGCCTGCACTGGCAATTTTTCTTTCATTACTAAGTCTTTAAAGCTTTCTGATAAGGCTGGAGTGATTACTTCCTGGGAATTTCTCTCATGAAATAATTTTAAGTCACCATTTGTTTCAGAAAAGTTCGTATTTGTGGATGGGATGCTGTGATTACTGGTTCCAAAAAAGCTTCTCTCAAAGCCATCTGCTCTTTGCAGGGTTCCCATTTTTACTTTATCTGTGTTATTTGCTTTGGTAGGTGAAGATACAAAAGGAGTTCCTGAGGACCTATCCTTCAAAGCCTCAGCAGTTACAAATTTATACTTTTTATTTGCAGGTGAAGTTTGTGTCTTGAACTCATTGGTGAGCTTCTGATGTTCCATATAGTATTTGTAACGTAACTCCTACAATTACAGCAAAGAATCTCGGTAAGTAAAACGGCCTTTGTGGATTCAGAGGTTATAAAACTCACATACAATCCTAAGACTGAAGAAAAGTTTCTGTATATTCTACAGCATTCATGATGTATTTTTCCATTGTTGCTAAAAGGCAACAGAACATAAGTCATTATGGAAAAAAGTTCTTCAAAAACAATTGAACAAGATACATATGGAACCCTAATGACAAAAGCAGGTTTTGAAATAGGAGACTATAGAAAACTATATTTAAAGTCACTGCCAAAACCAGCAATAGCTAAAAATACTAGCTTAGACATTAAGTGACAAATTCTCAAATTGTCATGAAAAATAACCATCTGAAAACAATTTAGGTGGTGGTGGGTTTTTTTTTTTTTACTAGATACAATAACTATATAAACTGTATTCTCAATGGGAATAGAAAACAGATGTTCTCCAAAATAATACAGCAAAAGAAAAATAATTCTATATTTAAAGGACCTAAGCAACTTTTTCATTTAATCATTTGCCATCGGTATTTTCAGAACATACGTTACGTGATTCACTGCCAGCCATGCTTCACTAACTCTAACTAGAATCATTCTGTACAGAACAATACTTACTCAGCCACCCACATGGAACTGCTAGTAAGTGAAAAAATCTAGTTGTATAACTAGATAATTGGAAATGAAACAAAAGAGATTGGATTCCGTTTCATGTCAAATTATCAGGAATTTTGGTAGTGTTAGAAGAGTGAATTCTATTATCTTCAGAAAACAGAACACAGGCAGATGACTTCCTCTTCAAATAGGCAATAGAGATGCTTATTTGCATTAGAAAGCTACAGATATGCCTCAAAAAGCCACACTAAAATATAAAAATAAGTATTTCGAGTCAGTAGTAAGATTAAGTTCCAGCTTTCTGAAGAAAAAAGAAAAAGAAGAGTAAAATCCTGATAGCTTTAATAACCTAGTCAGATTTACATTCTAGAATTGGAAGAGTACCTTTCTACTAAGAAAACTGAAAAAGATTATAAAAGCTTATTTAGAAAGTTGTGTCATAACAAACAGTAACTTAGCCATACTTACAAAAGATGTTCAATCATACCTCATGACTCATGTTTTGAAATGCTGACATTTCTGATATTGACATTAAGCGAGTACAGATCCTGCTACCATCTGCTAGTGCTTCCTCCTGTCCTGCTACAGGCTGAAAAATGTTTTGCAGCAGACATTATAGTTCATTTTGTTAAGACAAAATAAACAAAATACTACAGTGTTGTAGCCCCATAGTCAATAACTTACAAGAAATGTCTTGGGTGTATTCTTCTGGTCCTGCCATTGCTTTATGTTATTTTTAAATAGAGTATTTTTTGTTAAGTTCTCATTTCCTCCAGAAGGTAGATCTATTAGAAAGAATACAAGAATACTGATGGAGAGCATATTAAGTATGGAAAAGTTCCTGTGCATCTAAACATAGATTCCAACTGAGAACAAAAGTATATTGCCCTAAGTGAGACCCTAGTACTTGTCAAAACTTCTGTGATATAAAGCAAGAGGCCTGCGTAAGAAGTCTTCTAAATGTCTGGAGATGCCTGCCCTGATATAAAACCTAACATTTTCTCCTATGAAGTAAAAGCATTTAATCAGAGCGTTGATGTTCATATTATACTACAACAAATGGCCATGTAGTTCAGCAACACACTTCTGACAGTGGCGATACTGGTTGTATAGGGAAATTATAATGACGCTTCCCCCAGCTTCCAAAAATACAGCCTAGGGACATTCTAGAGAAAGCACATTCACAAAATGCATTTAAAAGCCCTTGATGAATGTATCATCCATTAATTTGCTCAAATGCTTTCTGAACACTTGCATACTTTTGCCATGCAGATTGTTTATTAGCAATTAGTTCCACAAGTTGCGGGTTCCTAGAGTGACTTCCCAAATCTTGTCCTGCATTAAGTCCTTCTTCCCTACCTTTAACAATGCGTACATCAACAGGCATTAACTTCAAAGCCAAGATTTCATTAACCACAGGTTTGATATCCATCTTCTTTTGAGTATACTCTGGTGCTTTTTCATAGCTGGATGCTATATTCATCAGGTCAAGCTGAGTTTTCATTCTGGAAAAGGAAAATAAAAAACCCCAAATTTAAACACTTAAGGCTTACGTGCCAACAACTAAATTACACCTGCCTAATACAAAAAAATTATTTTAAAAAGAAATCACTAAGAGGGAGATGAAATCAGAAAAAGTCAGTCTTCAATAAAATGTCAGTTTTCCTAGATTTTTTTTCTTAAAACTTACTACTTGACAATTCACTTGAATTAGGTTTCATACACAATAAAAACTGCAAGAAGTAGTGCCTGTAGTTCAGCAAGAAGATTAAACCCCCCACACTTTT